AGCTATTGAAAGACTACGATATCACCATCTTGTATCACCCAGGGAAGGCCAATATGGTGGCCGATGCTTTGAGTAGAAAGTCGGCCAGTATGGGTAGTCTTGCATATATTCCGGTCGATGAGAGGCCGCTTGCTTTGGATGTTCAGGCTTTGGCCAATCAGTTCGTAAGGTTGGATGTCTCCGAGCCCAGTTGTGTGTTAGCTTGCACAGTCGCCCGTTCTTCATTATTGGAGCGCATTCGAGATCGGCAGTATGCTGATCCCCATTTGTGTGTCCTAAAGGACACGGTGCAGCACGGTGGTGCCAAGCAGGTCACAGTGGGAGATGATGGAGTTTTGAGGATGCATGGTCGCATTTGTGTGCCTAATATGGATGGACTTCGAGAGTTGATTCTAGAGGAGGCCCATAATTCCCGGTACTCTATTCATCCGGGCGCCGCTAAGATGTATCAGGATTTGCGGCAGCATTATTGGTGAAGGAGGATGAAGAAAGATATTGTTGCGTATGTGGCTCGGTGTTTGAATTATCAGCAGGTAAAGTACGAGCATCAGAGACCTGGTGGTTTGTTTCAGAGGATTGAGCTTCCCGAGTGGAAATGAGAGCGTATCACTATGGACTTTGTTGTTGGACTCCCACGGACTCAGAGGAAGTTCGACACAGCATGGGTTATTGTTGATAGGCTGACCAAGTCAGTGCATTTTATTCCTGTGGCAGTCTCCTATTCTTCTGAGAGGTTAGCTGAGATCTATATCCGGGAGATTGTTCGTCTTCATGGTGTGCTCGTGTCTATCATTTCTGATCGAGGTACGCAGTTTACCTCGCATTTCAGGCAGGCAGTTCAGCATGAGTTGGGCACACAGATCGAGTTGAGCATAACATTTCATCCTCAGACGGACGGGCAGTCCGAGCGTACTATTCAAATTTTAGAGGATATACTCCGAGATTGTGTTATTGGCTTTGGAGGCTCGTGGGATTAGTTTTTGCATTTAGCGGAGTTTGCCTACAATAACAGATACCAGTCGAGCATTCAGATGGCTCCTTATGAGGCTTTATATGGTAGGCGATGTCGGTCGCCGGTTGGGTGGTTCGAGCCGGAAGAGGCTCGATTGTTGGGTACGGATCTAGTACAGGATGCCTTGGACAAGGTTAGGATCATCTAGGATAGGCTTCGTACAGCTCAGTCCAAGCAAAAGAGTTATGCCGACCGTAAGGTTCGTGATGTGGCATTCATGGTCGGCGAGCGGGTGTTGCTTCGGGTGTCGCCTATGAAGGGCGTGATGAGATTTGGTAAGAGGGGCAAGCTTAGCCCTAGGTTCATTGGCCCGTTTGAGATTCATGATCAATTGGGAGAGGTTGCTTACAGACTTGCATTGCCGCCGAGCATATCAATCGTGCATCCAGTGTTTCATGTGTCCATGCTTCGGAAGTATCACGGCGATCCATCCCACGTGTTAGATTTCAGCACTGTCCAGTTGGAAAAGGACTTGTCCTATGAGGAGGAGCCGGTAGCTATTCTAGACCGGCAGGTTCGTAAGTTGAGATCGAAGAGTTTCCCTTCTGTTCGTGTTCAGTGGAGAGGTCAGCGTGCTGAGGCATCGACCTGGGAGTCCGAGTCCGATATGCGGAGCCGTTATCCCTATCTTTTCTCCGACTCAGGTACTTCTTTCTTATGTCCGTTCGAGGACGAACGATTGTTTTATAGGTAGAGGATGTGATGAACCAAAAGGTCATCACATGTTTTAGAGATAAATTCTATGATCCGAGGCCTTAAAACATCCTTTTTGTGTCACCTCGATTTGCGTGCGCAGTCTGGCGTGTATCCGGAAAGCCATTATGTTAAAATCTATGAAAAATGATAAATTGTGCTTTAAAAATGAATTTAGGTTGACGGAATTTTGGGTGAACGGACCCGGACCCGTGATTTGATGGTCCAGGAGGGTCCGTTGGAAAATATGGGACTTGGGCGTATGCCGGAATTGAATTCCGAGGTCCCAAGCCCGAGAAATGAATTTTTAAAGAAAATTGTTTTTTTGGAATATATATGAGTTTTTGGAAATGAGATATGTTTGGATTTGATGGTATCGGGCCCGTATTTTGGTTCCCGAACCCGGTATAAGTTTGAAATAATAATTTGGTTGAATCTGTAAAATTTGGTAAAGATCGGGATTGGTTTGGTATAAAGCGGACTTAAAGTTGAGAAATTAGAATTTTGGGTGTTCTTGGATGATTTCTTGAATTTGGGGTTTAAGTCATAGTTATTGATGTTATTTTGGTGATTTGATTGCACGAGCAAGTCCGTATGATGTTATTAGGTTGGTGTGCATGTTTGGTTTGGAGCCCCGAGGGCTCGGGTGAGTTTTGGATAGGCCACGGAGTGAAATTTGGACTTAGGAATTGCTGGTATGTTGCAGGTCTGCAGGCTTCGTATGCCCGCAAATGCGATACTCGACCTGGGCTGCCTTGGTCGCAAATGCGACTTTTGTATCGCAAATGCGATATCGCATTTGCGAAAGGTCCCTCGCAAATGCGAAGGTGACCGGAAATACACTAGGTCGCAAATGCGACATTATCTTCGCAATTGCGAAGAGGAAAGTTTTCTGAGGGGTTCGCAATTGCGAACCCTGGTCGCAATTACGACATATGCAACGTGCAAATTCATAACTTAGCCGAAAATCTTTCATTTTTCAAACCCTTTTCAAAACCTAAACACCTTTGGGCGATTTTTCAAGGACAAGTACTCTTCCAAATTGATGGTAAGTCATTTCTAACTCGTTTTCATTAATCTTTAACATCTTTTCTCATGATTTCAACTCAAAATCAAAGGTTTATATGGGGGAAATTGGGTGTTTTGGGTAGAACTTAGGTTTTTCAAATTTTGGGGATTTGGACCTCGATTTGAGGTCTGATTTCAAAATAAATTATATATTTGGGTTCGTGGGTGAATGGGTAATCGGCTATTGGTTCGAACCTCGGGTTTTGACCATGTGGGCCCGGGGTCGATTTTTGACTTTTTGAGAAAAACTTTAGAAAATCTATTTTCACGCATTAGAATTGATTCATTTAGCATTTATTGATATAGTTAAGTAACTTATGGCTAGATACGAGCGAATTGGTGGTGGAATCAAGAGGTAAAGCGATAGTTGAGGCTTGAATTATGTTCGTGGCATCGAGGTAGGTGTTTGGTCTAACCTTAGCTTGAGGGATTAGGAGTTGTGTCTTATTTGCTATGTGTTAACTGTGAAGTACGACGTATAGGCATGGTGACGAGTATCTATACGTCGGTGTTAAGCATGCCCGTGAGTCTTCTATTGTAATTGTTGTGACTCCGTCCTGGTATATTCATGCTCAATATGATGATTTGTATTATTACTCCCTTGTCGGGATGTTGTTGTTATATTATTGTTCCCTTACCGGGATATTGTTGTTATATTATTGTTCCCTTGCCGGGATGTTGTTATTGTATTATTGTTCCCTTGCCGGGATTCTTCTATGATTGGTGTTGATATATGAAATGGGAGCGGGTTGCAAGCCTGCAATGGTAATTTATGAAATAGGAGCGGGTTGCACGCCTGCAACGGTAATATATAAAATCGGAGCGGGTTGCACGCCTGCAACGGTAATATATGAAATGGGAGCGGGTTGCACGCCTGCAACGGTAATATATGAAATGGGAGCGGGTTGGACGCCTGCAACGGAAATATATGAAATAGGAGCGGGTTGCACGCCTGCAACGGTAATATATGAAATGGGAGCGGGTTGCACGCCTGCAACGAGATATATGAAATGGGAGCGGGTTGCACGCCTGCAACGAGATACATGAAATGGGAGCGGGTCGCACGCCTGCAACGAGAAAGAAATGAAAGTGAATACTGTGTTTATTTTCCTCATTATTGTTGGCAACTAAATTATGGGTATTTACATTCCTCTTTGGTATTTTGTTGTTATCCGATACTCCCCGTAGCATGTCTCCTCCTCCCCATCTTTAAGTATGAATATCTGCTTTTATTTTCCGCTGTATATGATTTAACTGCACAGGTTAATTTGGTAGTCTGGTCCTAGTCTCGTCACTAATTCGCCGAGGTTAGGCTAGGCACTTACCAGCACATGGGATCGGTTGTGCTGACAGTACACTCTGTACTATGTGCAGATACTGACATCGGAGCGTTTGGACCGCAGTGAGGTTGCTGCCTTCAGTCCAACAGGCGACCCGAGGTAGTCCTGCAGACGTCCGCGGGCCTTGGCGTCTCCTTTTATCTTCCTATACTGTTTCTTCTATGTATTTCTGAAACAGTTTGTATTTTCTTTCGCACCTTTATTTGTAGTACTCTTACACAGTCTATGAAATTGTGACACCAGTCTTGGGTAGTTTACGTATGGATTTGGTATTGGCATCTTTATTAAAATATTATATTTCAGTCTTCCGCTTATTAAATTCCGTTGTTTTTCTAATGTTGGTTATTAATCGTAAACGGATTAAAATGGGAAAAAGGTAAATAATCCAAATGATCGGCTTGCCTTGCTTTCACTAGTAGGCGCCATCACGACTCCCGAGGGTGGGAAATCCAGGTCGTGACAAGCTTTTGTGGGACAAGTTCTATTACTCAACCCTTATCAATTCCAATATGAAAGTAGTAACATGGAATGTAAAGGGATGAAATAAAGTATATAAGCAGAAGGAGGTGAAGGATTTTATTAGGAAGAATAAAGTTAGTATACTTGCAATAACTGAGCATAGGGTGAGTGAACAACATGCTAGTCAAATAATAAAGAAGATCACAAGTAGGTAGAGATGGTATGATAACTACAATACATGCACAAGAGGGAGAATTTGGCTAATGTGGGATCTAGATTTGATGGACTTTACTTTGATTGAAGCACATACTCAGTTCATTCATGGTTTGTTGAACATCTATGAACTAAATATGAAAATCACCATTACGGCAATCTATGACCTTCACACTATTAACTATAGAAGGGGATTATAGACTGAACTTGGAAATATGGTTCATACAGTGCAGGGACCTTGGATAGCCTTGGGTGATTTCAACTCTATAATAGACACGAATGACAGAATAGGAGGGGTACCAGTTCAAGATGTCGAAACTAGAGAATTTAGAAAGTTCCAGTTAGACTCTGGTTTGGTCGAATTAAAAAGTGTGGGCAGAAGATATACTTGGACAAAATCACATGTGTTCAGCAAGATCGACTGGGCCTTTGTCAACTCAGATTGGATGCAGAGTCTACCACACATAGAAGCTATAATTATGGATCCGGGATGTTCAAATCACTCTCCCATTGCAATTAACTTTGAAGATGCTCCGGATAGGGGTCACAGACCTTTCAGATTCCTCAATTGCCTGGCTAATCATCCTAGTTTCTTGCAGCTTGTAAAAGAAACATGGATGATGCAGGATCATAACCAATCCATGTACAATGTATGGGCACGACTGAAGGCTATCAAGCAGGCAATGAAGCAGCTGAATAAAAAAGAGTTATGTGGCATTGAGCATAAAATTACTATTAACAGAAGTCAGCTTAATGAATTGCAGTCAAGAATGAGGGATCCAAATCAAACAACTGATCAATTTGAACAGGAAAAATCTTTACAGATTCAGTTGGAAAAATGGTCATTGATTGAGGAAGTCATAGCTAGACAAAAGTATAGGATACAATGGTTCAAAGCAGAGAACGCAAGCACCAAATTTTTCTATGGAAGTATGAAAGGCAGAGAAGTTCAAAATCAGATAAGAAGATTAGTGTTGATACCCAATTTTTTCTATATTTTTTATATATGCATAAATACCTTCAAAATAGCATATATATGCATATATAAGCATGCACAAGGTTTTTATAATTTTTTCCATAATTTTAAGGGCTTAAATTGATTTATCTCCTTCCCTTTTATTCATAAAATCCTCAATAATTATCCCTCAAATTATTGTTATGATGATCTAGTCATTTAATTTCTATATTTATGCCAAAATATGGTTAAAATATTTTTTGTGCATTTTCATAGTTGCATTTTGTATTTTTAAAGCTAAATTCCATATAATTGCAATAATAGCCTTATTAATGTATAATTACATTTATATGCATAAAATTGGTCTCCTATATTTTTAAAATGTTAAATATCTATTATAAATTATTTTAGTATGCAAAATTATTTTCCAGAAATTATTTATTATTTATTATTTATTATAAATTATATGGGAAAAATTGGCTATTTAAAATATAGCCAGATTTGCCTTTCAATTTTATCCTAATTTCAACCCAACACCCAGCCCAATTCTTGATTAAATTACCCGACCCAAACCCTAAACCCACCGACCCGACCCAGAACCAATTAAATCATGGTCGTAGATCAACGACCCGTATCAATTCTTACCTTTTTAATTCCAAACGATCCCCTAACCCTAATCATTTCTTCACATCCGCCGCCCTAAAATTCTCTCTGTTCTCAAACACTCTCAACCTGTAACACCCCGTAAATTAGGCTTAGGTGTGAATATGTTAAGTGAGTGTTAAGTTTATATTTTGGACATGTGAAGTCCCATCGGGATGATTATGGGTAAAATAGTTGTTTCAAAATCAAGATGGAAAGTGAGGTGCATAAGATTTGACAAAATCGACTATGTTTGCAGAAGGTCTGTCTTCCAGCAGGTTTTAGTGAAAATGTGTAAGGATTTGGGAAAACTCAAAGCACGAATGTTGTAGGCCTTTGAAATAGCTTTCCAACGATATATTATGGAGCCCGAACGGATCTCTGTGCAAAACGTTATGCGCGTTTTATAGAACAGTATGCGATATGCGCGCTCGGTAGCGCGACCGCGCTTTTTTTGAGGCAGTGTTACTGCCGTTTCGTGCGGTCAGTAGCGCGGTCAGGTCTCCAGGAGCACGGGCACGCTCATGGGGGTTCGTTTTAAAGCCCTACTTCGTCCCCCACAGCTCCAAAACATAAAAACTTGCTCTAGAAAGGGGAACTCTCAAAAACCTAACTCCTTAAGGGCCCTTCCACCACCCAAGGTAAGTTTTAATGGTGATTCTAATTTAGTTTCAATTTCCCAACATCTTATTAACATGGTTAAACCCTCCATATCATTAGATATTCGATCGGGACATCATTGTTGAGAGAAGGAACCCTAGAACTCGATTTTCAAGGGGATTGAACTTCAAAAAGGTAATGTCTTCACCCTCTAATTGATTATACTATTGGATTAATGATTATAGACTCTAGTTCATGAGATATGAGTTGATGAATTTGATAGAAAAGCATGAACGATTATAGGTTTGGGGTGTTGATTGTTGATTATTGGTTAAGGGTGTTGTTTACCTTATGGATGATAAAGAATGATGTTGCTTATAACAATTTGAGACTTTAGAATTTATCTAGGAGCAAGAGAATGGGCTATTGGGTGTAGAGACACCATTAATAAGGACTATTAAGCTTTATGTCACCAAGCGTTTGAAAAAATGCTTAAGTGACTAAAACATGAGAATTATTGCTAATATGGAATCCCTTTGACTTGTATTGATATAGATTAAAGTCGAAAGGGGTGGCGAACGTTGTATTACGCTCAAGAGCAGGAAGTTAAGGTATGTGAGGCTAACTCTTTATGTTGGAAATTTTAATGATTCTCCCTACACTACGTTTCTTTTACGACGTTACCAATTGCCTCAGAAATATAGTTAAGCCTAGTTCCTTGAATAGTTGTAGAACTTCTATTCTCTAGCTTCATAACTCGTTCATGACTTTCATTCTGAATGTTGTGCTCAGTTCGTATTCAATATAGACTCGGGCTTGATGTACCTGAGTCTCAGTATAGCTTACTCAGCATGTCATAAACAGTTAAAGTTTCAATGTTCATAATCAGTTTAAGAATACATGTCTCAGTCCAATCCTATTTAGTATTATGTAACTCAGTGTGATTCACCATTCAAGTATATGTAACTCAGTATGATTCAGTATTTCAGCATCATGTATTTCAGTATGATTCTCAGTTCCTGAATGTTGAACACCTGTCTTTGGGCCTGAGGCCGCAGTTTATGCTTTATGCATCTTTGGGCCAGAGGCCGCAGTTTATGCTTTATGCATCTTTGGGCCTGAGGCTGCAGTTTATGTTTTATGAATTTTGGACCTGAGGTCGCAGTTATGTATATGTATACTTGGGCCCGAGGCCGCATTTGTGAACATATATATATTGGGCCTGAGGCCGCAGTTTAATATTCAGATAAACAGGTTGTTCATCATTCAGAGGAGGGAGTATTCATATCCTTACTTCCTTTGTTCAGTTCAGTTATCAGTTATCATTTCATTTACCAGTTATCAGTTCAGTTATCAGTTATCATTTCAGTTTCTGTTTCAATAGTATCATTTCAGTACCATTTATCAATTCACAGTTATCAGCTTAGTTTCAGTTTCAACATTTATAATTCTTTCTTTCAGTTGCTTTACATACCAGTGCAATTCAAATATACTGACGCCCCTTTTGTCGGGGCCTGCATCTCACGATGCAGGTAATGATTTACAAGTTGATGATTCAGAGCGCTAGGATTCTCATACCAGCTGTTTGGTGATCCCCAGTTCTTTCGGGGCATTATCATTACTTTACGGTCTTTCAGTATTTACAGGCAGTCAGTGTTGTCAGTACTTCATTGAGGCTTCATAGACTAGAGTAACAGTTAAACAGAGTCTCAAGCTTTTCATGTTAAGCAATGTTGGCTACATATATGTTTCAGACTTGTTTTAGTATTTCCGCACTTTGATTTATATCATCCAGACTTTCAGTATATCAACATGTGTTAGCTTATCTTCCGCATTCAGCATGTTATGATATCATATGTTGATTCAGCCAGCCAGTTGGTTCGCTCGGTCACATGTAGTTAGGCACCGAGTGCCGTGTTACGTCCAGGCCCAGGTTAGGGGCGTGACTCAACCGAACCCTAATCTTCAACTGCCGACCTCCCATCTCCGGCCATCTCCGGTCACCTCTCATCGTCTCTTAAGCCTCCAATGGCTTCTCTCATGCCACGCTCGCCTTCTATAAGGTCTTCAAGGGCCTTGGGCCACACTGACTTGCATCTAGGGTTTGCTATTTGGCTGTTCTTGGCCACTCCGGTGTGATTTCAAGCAAAATCATGTTGTATTTGTCGCGATCTTTGGGTTTCTAGACAGGTTCTTGCATTTCTATATGGATTCCTTCCAAAACCCTAATTTCTTCCCGAATCTCCTAGATCTGTACGATATTTGAATGATTTAAGTCTGTTTCTTTGGTATTTTACACTATCCTTGTAACTCTTTACAAGAATCATCGATTTCAAAGTGTTTTCACCTTCTTCTCAAATTAGGGTTTTCGGAACTTCTTCTAAAACTTTGTTTAAACCAATTCTTTATGTTTACACTTCTATCGCTGGCATATTTCGACTGATTCTATGATTTTACTACCTCTTCAACTGGCCTATGTTGAAAACCCTAATTTCTTAGTTCTAATCTAGGGTCTCTGAGTTTTGTTTGGATAACGTTTTTAGTTGATCTATATGTTTCTGTGATTCTGTGATTTTACCCCATGATTGCTTGTTAAGGTTCCTAATTATGGCTATCCATGCTTATTGTGTGATTTTACCCTATTTTGTTTACCAATGTTTCTGATTCTCCACTTCTCCTGCCTATATCATGCTTATTCAACTAATTCAGACTATGCTCTACATGAATCCCTAATTTATATATGATATTTGTCCTACTCGACCTCTTAGAGTTCTGGTTTTTGCTTACTATGTGCTTGTTCTTATAAAGTTGTGCTAAATCAGTGCTATTTTCTACTTTTGAATCCTTGAATCTTTATGATTGATCTTTCACTGATTTCGCATGATATCTCTACTGATTTTTAACCTTGTAAAATATTTTTTGACCATATTCTACGGTCAATTATGCTATTAATTGATCTCGTAAGTCTTTTCTTGATTGAAATATGCTGAACCTAGCCTATATTACATGTGTGTACTTGTACTATGCAGAAAATATTTCCTTATTTGTTATGCTCAGCCTTATACAATTTCCTTCCTTATTTGCCACATGTTTATTACCGTTTGAAGTTGACTCCTCAATTAAAGGAGTATTACCATGATTTCACGACTGATTGATTCTGAGTCCCCATAATTACTGATGAACTTTGATTCTTACCTTATTTGATACCTGCTTTCAAACTATATAAATGGCTCTCTTCCACAATCACAACACACGAACACTTTGGTTCGAAAGCTCTCTCTCTCACACTTAAAACTTTCTACACTTTGTGTCACTTGCTCTTATTTTGAGTTAGCCGGCTGCAAGCCAAGGCTAACTATTGTGCTCTCTTGCTCCTTCACTTTTGCTTACTGTCCTCTTTACTGGTATGTTTTAGTTTCAATTCAAGTTTCAACAACAACATGGTTCTTTTATTGCTTCAGTTCATCTTGTTTCTAGTTTGCTTCTACTTATGGTTTTGCTGTGAAACTTGCAGTTAATGTGATTACATAATTAGCATATTATGAACCCCCTTCCTTAGGATCAGTATGAGCATGTTCCCCCTTTATGTAGTCTATTTTTTGCACTATCTGGTTTATGGTATGAATCCTCTCTATGTAGTCTACACTCTTGACTTGTATGGTTGTAGAATTAGTCTTAAATCATTTGGATCCTATACTAAACCCCCTTAAGTATTGCTGGTTCTGTGACTGTG